TTCAAATTTCCGCAATTAGTCAACTAAAAATGCTGTGAACAAAACTTACGATTAGATTAGAGCGTATTTATGCTTGCTCGACCATTTGTTGCATAATCTTAAAGGCGCAATTAATACAATTACAAATTTCCTACCTAAGATAGGGCTCCAGCATGAAATTTTTAGTGGAACACAATTTTTCATTGGCTGGTAATGTTTGCTGACAAAAAATATATACCTACAAGTAGTTTTGTAATTGTAAGATATAAAAAAAAACTCTGTGTTATTCCAAAACATAACTTCGATGGTCGCAATTAGAAATCGTTTCTTATTGAAGCTAATTCCTTGATAAAAAGCTTTCTTGGAGGCCTAGTATTGAGAAGAGAGTTAGGAAGACATCAGTTGCCTTATAATGATACAGAAGAACAGGAGAAAAGGTGTGGCCTCTCACCAAAAGTGATGCTTTGGCTATACGAAACCGTAGTCAAGCCAATAATGTCTAAGCTCTCCAAGTTTTTGGGTCGGTCGATTGGCCACCAAGATCGAAGATCGTGTGGTATTGCACCGTTAGACTTTTTCCAGTGGCAATATGTAAAGTCTTAAGTCTATGCGGACAATCCTGCTTCGACTCAGAACTTGGAGCAAAGCATCAGTCATTCGCCAGTTACCAGTCGAAATGCTCGACCGAGTCATCGAAAATTGGACTCAACGGATAGACCATCGGCGACGTAACCGCGGCCAACATTAAAAAAAGATAATCTTCAAGAAATAAATGCCAAATAATGTGCTTTCGAATGCTAATAAACATTCTCATTCAATTAGAAATTTCTTTTTTTTTTTCTTTAAAAAAGTAGGAAAGCTCGAAATGGATCACCCTTTATATAGAATATTAAGTTAATATTAAGAGTACTGGTCCACTTAAACTGCAAATTGAATTGATAGAAAACTTTAGCTAGGTGCATTCTTTTTTTATGTTCGTGTGGAGTTTGATCTCCATATGTCAACTGGTGTGTGTTCGACACTGTTTGTATATGATCAGAAGGATTTGAAAGATTATTGCCTGTCAATATAAGAGAGATCTTTGGTTTATTTGTGCATAAAATCGGTAGACACTATTCTCAAGTCCAGATATATCGAATATAGGTATCTCAGACACTTAGTTGACATTTCAACTTAAATATCGGCCAATATATGAGATATGAGTATATACATTTATATTATTTACCAAAAGTTACTAAACTCGAACAATATCGCCTTTCTCGTTTCAATTTATTACACGCGGCAATTTTCTTTCTCTTTGGTTAAATTATATGAGTGAGAATAAGTAATAAATATAATGTGATTTAGAGTAACTAACTGGTCAACATCTTCCTTAAGCACACTAACCATTAACTATCTAAGAATAGTTACCAAATTCAAACTTCTTATAAAATTAATTTAACAAGTAAACCATTTTTAATTCAAATTGTTGTCAATTGTTTTATGTCTTTCACTCAATTATTCCACTGAAACTGAAAAAATTCCATGAAATGCGCCAAAGAAACACATTCGCGTGTTGCCATTTCACTGTCAACAAAGTCAGAGCGCTGATATGCACATTGTTGTTGTCGAAAGAGCCAGCCAGCCAAAAGCCAAGATAAAATAAAAATCCAACAAAAATTTGTAAATATAAAATCAAAACAAAGCAGCAAAGTCTATGAATTAAGTGAAATGTAATGCAATAAAATATAATATAAAGAATAATGAAAGCAGCAACAACAATAATACTCATATGTATGTAGAAATGAAATTGGTGGCACTGCAAACAATCGGGCATGATATGATATGTGAGGATGTTCTACATTTATCTAGCATATCATATACTCAAGGCATAACTCAGTATTTGTTTGCAAGCTTCAAATTTATTCACATTAGATTTGCAATGGTGCATAAAGACATGGGTACATATGGTATAAGCGTACAAACAAAGCTGTGTTTTCGATACCCAGTAGTAAAATGAGAAGGTTTCTATTGAGCATAGATCAATCTCAACTTTTCAAGAATTTCCCGAATTTGAAAAAAAAGCATCAAAGAGCAATTTTTCGACCTGACTTCCTTAAAATCAGCTTTAAGAGGTTTTTGTGATTTTTTTTTTTGGAAGAGGCATGTTATATAATAATAAAATAAAAATATGAACTTCTACACAATTTAAAGCACTTTAATACTCCGTAAATCATTTAGAATTTTGTATTCTCTTGATATCAAAACCGATATACAGGAAGACCTCCGCTTAAAATTATCTCATATTGAAAAATCCGAAAAATATGTTATTATTGCAATAGATGAATATAGGTTAAGATCGATGGACAAGTCACAATTCTGTTTTTAACAAAATAGAAGCTTACCAAAAAACTCGTTATTTGTGAAAAATTTATACTTTTACAGTGTTTAAAAAAAAACGCTTTTTAAAGTATTTAGAGCCGATTCCATTAAGGGGAGAAACCAGTTTATTAAATTTGAGTGTGTTTTTATGATTTTTTTTTAACTGAGAAAGAATACTTAGAATTCGTTTAAACTTGCAGGGTAGCTTATTCCTATTTTGAAGTGGTGGAGTTAAAGGGTGGTGTCCATTGACGATAGCATCAGAGTTGACTGCTGGCGGGACACCTGGAAATGTTTTGGAAGGGTTTGAACAAAATGTTATGTTTTTACAACATTTTTGTCACCTTTCTTACAGAAAAAAATATATTTTACTTAATAATATCATTCCAAAGTTTGGTTCATATTATTCGGACTTGAGCAAAGGATATTCACACAAATTTTCATATTGATTCGTCAATAACTTTTCGAACTAGGATTCGCGCAAGTTGAAAAAAGTAGTTTCGAGAAAAACGCATTTAAAAAAAAGTCGGCACTGAATCAACCGGTGTTACCTTAGTGCTCATATCATCGGAACTAATTGGAATTTCGTTTTGAAACTTAAGCAACATATTATAAAATAGTTGGACTAACAATTTATAAAAAAATTCGATTTTTTTGAATCATCTAAACTGGTTTCCCCCCTTAAGTTAAACGATTTTTACAAATACGCTTATATTTACCTGTATTGATCCCGATTTACGTTCAACCTGTAGTTCATTCAGCATTCACTGCTGGGTAATAAGACTCTATCCACACATTGTTGTAAATATGTTCATGCTCTTGTACAATGCCATGTGTCGTGAATCATTCGTTGGCGGTGCTCCAACGAATATCACTTCATACACATGTTCATATGTGAATGTGTATGTATCTGTTCATACATAATAATGTTTGCTGTTTTAATATATGCTCGCGTATGCTTACATATATTAGCATGTCCGTGCGCGGGACAAAATAAACAAATACACGCGAATTTTGTAGAACAAAGCTATGCATTTCAATGAACAAAACGCGCGGGCTGCCAAAAACGCAATGCAAATGCGGAATTCGCCACTCTCACAAACGTAGATGACTTTTAAGGTTACGATTTTTGGTAATGTGAACGTAGTTGTTGTTGTTGCATGTATTCATAAGTAGATTTATTTGCATGGGGTATGTACTCGCACTCATGTTATTTCATTTAATTGCATGCTTGAAGCTAAATAATAAAATTGCGGAATTTCTAACGGAAAATCGCTGTTGAGTGCCACTATTAGAGGAATACGACTTCCGAAAACATGGCCTCTTCGTGATTCGGAATTCCAGCAAGAAACATTAACTGAAGGCTGGAAATATGGAACTCGATAGGAATAGAAAATTATTTCGTTGAGTTACAAAGAATCATAAAAAGAAGAATTTTGGGTACACGATATCCTCGTTTATAAAAAGGTATACATTTTATACCTTTAACGATGAGACATTTGCCGAAACACTTAGGTACTTATAGTAAACCTAAGAAGGCTGTAACTTTAATTATTGATTCACAAACAACTTTCATCGCTTTGCGACAATTCTTGATTTATTAACGAATCGAGGCAAAGGGTAAAAGGATAAGAGTTGCCCAACATTTTTATTCCCTTTGGTTTGCTTCGCCTCGATGCGACTCGTACAAAAGCATACGCCGAACTTATTTGTCAAAGCAAATGTTTGAAGCAAAACGAAGAAAAAGTTGTTTGTGAATCAGCCAAAATGTCTTTTAAGAACCGTTATTACATTTTTGAATAACTTTTGAGCATAAAAGGTGCTCACCCGATGAAGATTGGCTTGACTGTACACTTCGACTGCATTCTAACATGGACTTTTTTGTCGTTGATTATTGGAAAATTTCTTTTGGTGTTGCTCATCATGTACGCGTTACACAAAACTAAATTGAATCAGTTAATTATCCTCCGAACAGGGTATATTAAGTTCACCACGTTGTTTGTAACGCATGATCAGTATGATGAGCTGAGTCGATTTAGCCAAGTCCGTCTGTCTGTCTGTATATACGCGATGTCATACAAATGCTTGTATGGAAAACATTTTCATATGACGAGATATCTTGAAAATTTGGCATGGATTATTGTCGCAGACAATGGTGCAATCTCCGAAGAAATTGTTCAGATCAGATCAGATATTTTGTGTTTGTGAAGGGTATTTTTGTTTTGATCATTTTTCTTCTTCGATATTTATCCTTTTATTGAGACTGACTGTACTAACAAGTTCATCAGCGTTACAGTTTCCTGCAATGTCGCTGTGGCCAGGCACCAAAACCGGTCTAATCATAAAATAACTCGATGCTAGAGTTAAGGAGTCTAGACATTCTTTTATTAGTTTTGAGCGCTTAGCCAGCGAACTCAAGATTAATATCGCTGCCCTACTATAGGAGTGGAAGGTCACCACTCTGAAAGAGGCTTCGCTCCGGAGCAGTCTGCTGCTAACTTTGTGGCAGCCGCTTGAAAGACACTGCAGTAGTCAGAAAGTCTGAAACTAGAGCTGATGGAAAGTTCCCGACAGTGTACTCCGCCACTTGATCTCAATACACTTCCAAACGAATTTTGAAACGCTCGGTTTAACTGGTTGCAATTAACACTTTTATTCGATTAGCATATTAAGTATAACAAATTATAAAAATAAAAAGTTTACAAACCAAGTAAATTTTGAGTTATTTGTTGCAATGTGAAATATAAATATGTAAATAATTATCGTGAGTAATGCTCGTTTAATAAATATAGTTCTTTTCGTTCGAAAAATGTTAAAGACTTATATCAAATAGCCATGTATGTGTGTATACTTAAGTTAAACATGTTGAATAACAGTCTTGTCGATTAATGTATAATATTTAATATATACTTTTTTAAGAATGTGGTTATTGTGCATACTCACAAATAAGTACGAGTACTAATTAAATGCGAACGAAGGTATTCTCACCACATGCCACCCTTTACCTTGTGCAAAATGGTTTTGAAAACGGGCACCTTGACAGGGAATGGATGCGGTACCCTTACTGGTACATATTTATATACTGTAAATGGTACACGCTTTTCCACGGGCACTGGCACAGGCTTTTCGACCGGATATGGAACCACGCGCTCCACAGGGACTCTCAACTCTTTCTCAACGGGCACTGCTACATGTTTAGTGACGGGTACGTGTATGGGTACTGGTTTGCTGACGGGTACGATAACCGCATGCGAGATTGGTATTTGAACGGGTTCACGCACGGGGACATGTACTTTTTTCACCACCTTATAGGGAATGTAGTTGATGACATGGGGCTGCGATGCACCATCATCATGTTGTTCGGGTAGATAATTAGTGGAGTCATCGTAAGAGGGACCCTTGCCGCCCGCCTCATCATCTTCGACCTCCACGTCCCCGCTATCACCGCCGCTATGATGCTGTCCAAATGAGATATCCGCGTCCGTTGCAGTTGCAGATGAAGTTGCCGAGTCCGCGCCCGCGTGCATGGAAGCGTAACTGTCGAGCGGCATGAAGTACTGCATTGCCGATGGTATTGGCGCTTGTTGTTGCTGATGTGCGAATGTGGCAGAGGTGGAAAGTTCATCGTAACCGCCGGAATTTTGCCCGTAACGATGCAGAAAATTGCCATCGGAGATTTTATCGTTTGGCTGATGCAACTGTTGACTTTGTTGGTATGTAGGTGTGCCCGCGTATGCTGTGGTGCCTGCTGCCGATGATGAGTATTTGCCAGCGAAGGCCGAAGGCAGGAAGCCATTGTGCGTACCAGCTGAGTGTAAATTGTAAAGCGCTGTACTAAGCGCATCTTTGCCACTAGAATGGCCCGAATTAAAACTGCTACTGCTCCAACCGTTGCTACCGCTGCCGCCGTGTTGACTGTTTTCCTCAACAGCGTGTCCTGCTGCGCCGGATGCACCCAATGTGGCGGCGCCATAATTATTTTCTTGCTGTTCTTCATAAATTGGTATGTGTTGTTTTGCCACAACGGTGGTTGTAGTTGCACCACCCGCCGCGCCCGATCCTCCATGTCCCGATGTGCTCCAGCTACCGCCGAAACCGCTACTAATGTGCCGCAAACCCGAAAGATTTGTGAGACCATTAAGCTTTGCTGCCCCAAAGTTGTAACTACTGCTGCCACCGACATTATGTGCACCAACACCGCCCGCACCACTGCTACCTCCGCTAAATCCATTGTAACTTCGACGTTGTGTTTTTCTATCTTTATCTAGCGCTGCCGTCTCGGCGCCTGTGAGCGCAGCAATGCCGTTATGATTGCTGTCGCTGCTGCTATTTCGTTTGTAATGAATGTCGTAATGTTGCTGCTGTGTGGATTGCTGTTGTTGTTGTTGTTGCTGCTGATGTCCCACATGATTTGCATAGACATGGGCCATGTTTTTCTGGGCATGGCCAGTGTGCATTTCCGGTGTACGCCCGTGCCCTCCGGCCTTTGATGAAGTCGATGTGGCTGTAGAGCTGCAGACAATTGACAGTAATGTTGCTGTTGCTACAGCAAGTAGCAGTTGCCGCAGCTGTTGTTGAGCCAAAAGTTAGTGTTGCAAGTTGAGCGAAAATGTATGTAGAACGTAGAAATTTGAAAGAAAAATATAAGTGAATTTAAAATTGTATGAATAAAGTGAGGTAGGACATTCTGGATGTAAAATACCCTTGCTGAATGAATGATAAAGTTCCTCATTTTTGGAATCTCGAGTTTTGAGTTATTATATATACAATATATCGTAGGTATTTCTTGCCATATTAGGGGTTGATTGTACCGGTTAAAATCATATTTTATTTATAACATAAAATTGACTATGTAGATTTACGGAAGAAATTGTCTTTTTTCGAATTGTTAGACTGTTATTAGAAAACGATAAAATTCCTAATAACTATTTGAATGATTGAAGATAATTGTGTTAATGTTTGCCGTCTCTCTCTCTTTCATTTCAAAGTTTTCTGTTTGATTTTGTTTAAATTACCGAAACACTCTGGTTGCGGAATAAATTAGCATTTTTCCAGAAAATATTCATCTTCTGGAAAAGTTCACAAATTAATATTCATATAGACCATCGGAGGTTGTTTCGAAGAACATTTCTCTAAAAATTAATTCCTGTTTTGGTTTTTTTTTTTTTTGTAATAAAGTGTGTCTCCTAATAATAGTTCTGATGATCTGAACTTTTTTCATCATATTACAAAAAATTGTTTTAACCACAACAAAAAGGCGCTGCAGGAATGCTTTTGAGTTTTGCGTGCAATATTTTTAAGAGCTCACACTCTTTTGAAGGTAAATGATAGAAAGCTTGCCGAAAGAAAATTTTGAAAGTGGCACAAAAAATATGCAGGGTTTTGAATTAAAATCCCATAACCAAGACAAAATCTAAAGGATTGAAAAGGATCGCTCTTATTGACGAAAAATCCCTAATGAATGGAAAGTTTCGAAATAAGGTCTAATATGTGAATATGTTCATTTATAATCCAAGCGGTTTCGAACTTATATAGCACTACATGTTGGTAAAACTTGCGACCTGCATACAAGCAGGATATTAAGTGAACTTTTCAGCCAATTAATACTATACCAAATAGCTATATACGCTAAGAGTACTATAATTGATTGTTTTCTGGTGGGAAAGCAATGTTAGCAGTGGATTTATAGAGCGCCCAGATTTAGAAAAATAGTACCATTAGACCAGATTTAACGTGAGTTGGGTTCTCAGAACCAATTTTTTCTAAAACGATGTAGTTTAAATAATTTTCGTGGAATTTCTAGAATTGTTAATATTTTATTTAAATGGTTGAGTTAGCAGAGAAGCACATTACTTTTAAAATTGATTTCAAAGTGCATCCTTGATTTTCAGAATATAAATGTTATTATAAAACCCTATTTTTTATTACTTTTGATATATTAACTTCGACACTCACTTTAATACAAACTGATAGGTAATTCTACTCAGGAGGAGTTTCCGATCTGTTGGAAAATTCTTTGCTAACTCACTTTTCTGCACCTTTATATACTTTATATATTTCTCAAAAACAATTTTCGATATATTTCTAATGTATGTTCCGAATAAGTTTTTTGTAAGTCTTTCGCAACTCTTTAACATTTACACTTGCGTATCACTTAATTGCACCAGCACTTTGCACTACATTCAAATGCAGCACAGTCCCGTTAAACTCACCAAGCTTCCAACGGTGTTTGTCATATTCAATTCCTTTTTGTATGTTGGTAACGGTAGACTCCTTTATACTAATTCTTATGTTTGGTGAGCGCCTAAAGGGATTGCTGTTCCTTGATATCTCTGTATATTTCCTCTTGCTGCAAAAGCGACCTTGATGCCGATTGTGTAACAAAGCGAATGTGCTTAAACCCGAAACTGCATTTGATTTTATATGATTTCCACTTGTGCCAACGCCGAGAGGCCATGAATGAAACGAATGCATAGACGACGGACCAGAGCTGCAGTTAATGTGCACTTGGCTTATCTATAGCCAGTCCACCGACGGATGTACGATTCGCTAAATTATTACACAATTTCGTTTATTTCTCCAATTTTTATTTTCATCAATAAAGAAAAGAAAATACAAGCAAACTGGCTGGCATAGAAAGGCAATCAGGTGAACTAGCCAATGCGCTAATGGTATTACGAAAATGAGGCCAAATTTAGTATCGAAGGGAAAGGTGCACTGGTGGTGGTGGTGATTATGATGATGGTGATTGTGTTGGTATTGGTGGTGAGTGCAGGAAATAGTCTTAAGATAACATAGTGAGAATAAGCAGTTGTACTTGAATATGCGAAAGTATTTGAAGTTGTTGCCTTTGTTGCGCGCGTAAGTAAACTTACTTAGTACGAGTATTTACATACACACTTCGAAAGGAAAATTAAAAGCGAAAGGTAGCAGTTTTGGGCGCAGTGGCGGCCAGGGGGAGAAGCTTTCGTGTAATTTGTGAAATTTATGAAATATTTGAGTGTGCTCTGGAATGGTGTGTTTGTTTATTGTGTGTAGCAATAATAATAATATAATTAAGCTAGAACTCGAGGGTCGTACAAGAGTTAAGTGACTGTAAAAATAATGCAATATTTTTATCACAAGCTTTTCTGTCAATATATTTTTTGATGACATTTAAGCAACGAGCTCATTTGCTGAAGGTCATAGAGGTTTTTTTTATTTCTAAAGTTTTCTTATTTTGGTAGTTTAGTTTCACACCTATTTATAGCTGCTCTAGTTAGGTTTCAATCCCTCGATATATCTCAACAATGATTGTTGAATTTTTTGTGGGAATAACATTTTAGTATTGGCCCAGTGTGCTTTTCACTAACGAAGTGATGACAAGATTTATATCTAAATTACATACTTGTATATGGTCGAGTTTGCTTTTCATTAACGAAAATATGTATATCTAAATTACATATAATGGTAAAATGTATATGTATAACTAAAAGTGGTAGCGTAGCCAAGGTATAGATTTAAACAACTTTCAAAAATTTTGTGAAGACCTTTGTCTTGAGAAGCATAAGCTCTAGTGGTCTTAGCTCAAAAAGTTGTTTGAAATCGTTAAATAATCTATGCCAAATTTCGTGAAAGTACCTTGCCAAATAAAAAAGTATTCCATGCAAGGACTTGAGTTCCGATTAGTGAGCAGCTTCTTTTTGAGAAAAGAACGTGTGCAAAATTTGAGATCGATTTCTCAAAAGCTGTATATACAGATAGAAACACGGACGGTCAGACGGACATGACTAAATCGACTCAGCTCGTCACGCTTATCATTTATATCTATACATTATAGTGTTTCCGAAGTTTCTCTCTAGGTGTTACAAACTTCGTGAAATAATAGATCGATCGTGAATCATATTAAGAAAGAAATCGGTAATATTAAAAGTACCTCTAACAATTTTTTAAGAGCTTTTTTAACATGTATACTGTTTAGTGAAGTGAAAGTTTAGGACCCCTTGTAATTTTTGTGTCTTCTATTGGTCTAAAATAAGAGTTTTTGGGTTTCAGGAATCTAAAGACCTTATTTTAATTAACCAGATCTTGGTGAAAAATTATTAAACATATTAGATGTGGTAATAGATAAAGGTATCAGTTTCGACTTTTACTTGGGCACTTTCTTAAAGACTGAGTTCTGGGTAGCTACATAGGTTTACGATAGATGTCCGATATACTTGTATATCTCAAGTATAATAAAAATTTAGAGGATATCAATTTTCAAACAAGAAATATTGCAAAGATTTCTTTCGAATTTTCGAAAATTTTTCGAAAGATCGGTGAAGAGGGCTGCATATATTCGAACTTTTGGAAATATAGTAAATAGAAGAATATATAGATATTTTCTTGTGATATATAACATAGATCAGGAGTTGAGAAAATGCTATATGATCAAAATATAATTTTATAATTTTCACAGAAATATACCATAACCCATAATAAATCATGATAATAGAACACCCCACGGTGAAAATTCGAATGCACCGCCATTGGTGCTTCCTTCTTTCACCTAAATTAAAAGTGTTACGCGATCACTTTAAATTGTAAACCAGTCGAAATGCCTTGCAATCATTATGATCTAAATGCAACGAGACGATTATTTGCAAGCCAAACAGCTGTTGCAGTGGCAACTTTTATGAAAAGCAACATTTTCAGCCAACTTTTCACCAGCTTGGCGGGCGCGCAGCGAAGTTCAAAGTCAGCATTTTAGTATGTTCGACAGTCGTCGCTGTGGAGTGAGTAATAAAGCTGTTGCTGCAACATACCGCGACCGATACAAGTGGCAGGCAATAAATGCTGTGGCAAACGAAAAGCAAATACAACAACAATTAGAAACTTAAATTACAAACGCAGCGGCAACAAAGTGCGCGCCAGTGAGGTATTCGTATTGGCAGCTGTAATAATAATAATTATTATTTTATAGCGCTTTTAGCGAAGCAGTTGGGCGCTTTAGCAGCGCCCCATACATTCTATCAGCACTAGTAGGCTGGCATGAAAGCTGTATTTAAAAGAAATGCAAAAACTAATTCAGTGCGGCGCGCCACTGTGAGAGCGTTTATGCGCATGCGCAACGGCTAAGCGCTTATTCGGCTGAATATCATTGCTTTTTTTGGCTTAATTATATTGTGCAGCGTTAATATTTTATGTTGTATGTTTAGTAAGCGGCAATTTCTACACTCCGCTTACTTCTGAATGTGTGAGCTTACAGAAAAGTTTTAGTCAACTTTTCCTTTTCCGCTAATCGTAAAATATTTGTAGTTATGAAAGTTGATGCGAAATTGATTGAAAGTGGTATGAATAAGTGCGGCCTTCGAATGATGTAATTTCTATTGCGTTCCGAGTATTATTGTCCAATTTGTGCGCTTATCTCTCCAATATTACGTTGTTAATCTCTTTATGAGTGCGTATGTTATGTGTGTATGTGTTATAGTGTTTAGAGTTTAATAAAATTTTACGAAGATGAAAAATTTAATAAATTCCGGTGCGGTAATTGAAATGTGTAGTTGGGGGATTTGAAATGGGGAAATATTTCTTTTGTGTATAAAATCTTAAAACCCCAATCTTAGGTACTAACTCGGGATGGGCATGGTTTCAATGAGACCGAATATTTTTCGTATCATATTATGTAGTACAAATAATTTTTAGTTCATGCTCATATTTTAACATTTAAGGCTTATTAAACGGCGCAGCTAGTGGAACAGCCTAAAAACAAACCGATTTTTTGGAAATAAAATACTGTATCAATCGGTTAAAAAATTTTAAGGATATATTTATATATATTTTAGGAATACTCATCTTTTTTTTTGGAGAAAAAAATTAAATAATTTTCGAGCTACCTCCACTGTTGCAGTGATTCCGGTCTTCTCTGTGGATGAAATTTAAAAAAAATAATCTCTAGAAGATGTTGTCTGTACAATGACCTACGATGAAAAATTTATCCAAAATAGACAAAATGGCGGCATTTAGCAAAAATTTAAATTTTATCCAAAAGTTTGTTTTTTTTTCTTTGGCTTTGTATGGAGAATAATATACAAACAACAATATACGAAAATACAGAAAAAGTTTGACATTGACGGTTCAGAAACTGATGGAGTTGATTGAACTGAGCGTCTACACTTTAGAAGCCTGTAACTCAAAACATGTTACTATTCATTTAAAATTGTAATATGTTACAATATTTTTAAAGCCATAGACTATGGAAATATGCAAAAAATAATAAATAGCTAATTTTTTCAAAATTTCATACTTTGCTAGATTTTCATTCGCTGAGCTTTAAGTTGTTGCGATTTTAAGTAAAGTTTTGGAAATTCCATCTAGGAAGTTAACTAGATGTACCATGTGTTAAAATTAATATTAATAATAAAAGAAATTTTTTCTGACAATATTAGGCCATTTCGAAAAAACTTATCAGTCTCACATTTGTTTTTTTATGAGCAAATGTGTTATTTATACGATAGGTAATATTAGATTATTTTTGTATAAAACAAAAAAAAGACGGAATTTATCATCTTTTCTATCATCCACACTCTCTTCAGCAATAAATGCAAGACAAACAAGCACTACAGTTTACTTAACATCCTTCACATCTTCTTCTTTTGGTGGCATAACTGGATTTTCCAGCCTACTTGCACAATTTGATATCCCTCTTATCATTATTAAATAAATTTTGACATAAAACAGGTAAGCCTAACGTTACCATTACCATTCATTCACCTATTATTGTAAAACGTGCTGTAGCAGCGTATGTATACTGCTTTATAATTGGCGGTCGTTTGAAGTCTGATCAATGTTAGCTGAATGATGTGTTAAGTACATGTGGAAGCAATGAAGCACGGCTCGCTCGTGAGCTCGAGGAGTGTGTATAGTGATATATATAAAAACTGATGAATTTACTTTCAGTTAGTTTCGGTGCTGAAAGTGCTAAATAAAAGGAGATATACCGTGAATGCGATATAGTGATAGAAGAGCGGGTTTAACTTGGTTAAATCAAATAGATTGGGCTTCAAATTAAAGCCAATGCAACATTAAAAAAAAAAACCTACGAGAATCGAAATAGAATGATCGTAAGCCCGACAGATGTTTAGTGAAATCTAAACTATCTAAAATTAAATAAAAACAACATTTTCGACATTATATGGGAGTTTGGGTAATTCGTGAACCGATTTCACATATTTTAGGCATTCAACTATAGTATATCCAATATTATACCTTCAGTTAATTAATATCTCACATATTGACTGATATATATGGTATAAAGCCATCGGAAGTTTCAAAATCCTATATTAGGTATATGGGGGATAAGGGTGGTATTGACTCGATTTGATCTAGTTTTGGCATTACTACATATTATTAGCAGCACAAGATGCTCTCTGAGTTGTAGTTTCCGTTTATTATATGTGGTCTAGGCAAGTTTTCACTCGATTTGACCAATTTTTAGCACAATGATACATGGTCGCTAAAAAAATACGCTCTCCCAATTTCATTAATTTATATTATATTATAAAGTATTGTAAAGTATTGATCCGCTGAAACCGATTTTTGGCTTACAAGCATACTGTTAACAGAGAAGAATTCTCTCCGAGTTTC